AAGGCATATTGGATTGCGTTGTACATAATTTCCACATCATCATCATTTCCAAAATAATCGTAATCAATCACTGGATAGTCTTTCGCACTGCTTGACTTCAAAGTTACCCTTCCGGTATTTTGAGGATGCAATAATAATAGATTCAGGCAAAAATCGGTCGTAGAATCGAGAAAATCTAATGTTTTCACGTAAGTGTCATTGTAACTAAAGAAATATATTTTGTGGAGTATACAACGTTTTTAATGAAGAATGTGACTTACCCTAAGAATACTCCGGATGATTTGGAAGCCGCTGGTGGGCCAACGGCAACAATTTCTACTTCCGGAATTATACTGTTATTCCCTTCTGAATTGAAGTAATTAATTGTTTGGATCCCGAATCCAACAACGAGTGGCCGATGGTCGTCTCTCCATAAATCTAAATTCTCGAGCAGAGTATTATTGTACCATGTCCCGTTGGTTCTGGAAAAACAACATTCGAAAGAATGAAATATTAGGTGTAAATGTGTCCTGACCTTAAATGTACCTGTAATATACTCCAGGGAACAATGGATGGTCCTGATAATTTTCTCCAACTGGCAAATCGGCAATAATTTCAATGCCGTGCTTGTTTAGTTCGTCTTCTGGCCCAATACCAGAGAGCATCAAAAGTTGCGGTGAATTAATCGCTCCAGCTGACACAATCACTTCTTTTCCAGCAGTGGCCGTGTATTTTGTCCCATTTTTCCAGAATTCAATTCCAGTAGCCGTTTTATTGGAGAGAATCACTTTTGTAACTAGGGATTCCACAGTAACGTTCAAATTTGTTCTGTTTAACGCCGGAAATATGTAGGAATGTGCAGTGGTTGCTCTTGTATTTTTATCCAAATAATATTGAGGCCGACCTACTCCATATTGAGTTTCGCCATTATAATCTACGTAAGCATTACCAAGTTCTTCAAATGCACTAAGTAGGGCGTCGGTCTGAAAGAAATGTAAAAAAGCTGTTTAGAATATCTTCTAACTGTTAGTTTGGTTGCTGTTTTACCAATATTGGAGTATCTTCAGCTATACTTAAACTTTGCATTCCATCAAATCCATGGTAAGGTTTGTCAGAAGCACTTACTGAAAATTTTGTATTTTCGCTTTTCTTAAAATACGGAAGGCAGTCTTCGAAAGACCACCCAATATCGCCTAGATCTGCCCATTGATCAAAGTCTTTGTGGTTACCACGGGCATTAAACCCTTCATTTATGCTGCTTGAACCACCCAAGCCTTTCCCACTTGTCAAAGCGCAACGTTGGTCAACAGAACCTGAACAATTATATTATAAGTTTTGTTACAATTATTATTAAGTCAATAATTTACCTAAACAACCGGTGGTTTGCTTGGTTGTGTTATATGCCCAGTTCCATTCGGATGCCACCAGATAACCATTCAGTCCCAAAACATCTACAATTGCTGCTCTGGCTTTTCCAGCTTCCACCAGTAGGACCGTAAAACTTTCTTGCTCAGACAGACGATTTGCTAAAATTCCTCCCCCTGTTCCACCTCCGGCAATTATGAAGTCAAATGTGCCATAGTCTAGATGGTTGATTTCCAATTTATCAATATTTTGAATGTTCATTGAACTGACAAGACTTACCGACTGAGGATGCATCTTCAGACGAAAAGTAGTCATCATTATTAGTGGCCCAGACATTCGATGAAGAAACATTAATAAAGTCTTCAATTTCCGACACAAATTCATCGAACTCTTCATCACTTAGAGCTCGAGTTAAAATGTCTGCTGATAGAGCAAAGCAGAGCAATGCTGTAGCATAAAATTTATACTGTTTCATATTAGCTTTT